ATTCCATCACAGGAAGGGATACTTCAAAACTCGTTGCTACTGCTTCTGGGTTTTGGATTGTCATCAGAAAGCCAATGATAAAAGCTCAATCCTTGTTGCCATTTTGTGTTACGCAGGGAGGACACTGAAAGCAAAGAGGAGAATTTGCAAAGAGGGGAATGTGCTAATAATGTGTATCTGAGACCAGGAAGGAATAAATGTACTGCCAGAAAAGTGTATAAAGGCCTATAGTAAATAAGGGCCTAAGCAGCATATTCCAGGGACAAAGTGTAGGTGTACCAAAAAGAGATTTGGATCACCTGTTGGCCAGAAAACCAGTGTAAGGTAGGTGCAAGGATCCGGCATGAGGAGCTCCAAATAACACGCAGGACGAGAGAAATCCAATCCAACTTGTTTATTGCTGCAGCAGTAAAGGAGGATGCATCCAAGAGTCTCTACACAGACAGTACACACATTGCTTGTCACGTTAGTCTTTTTGTACAATATTCAAACAGGGAGAAAGAATATGATTGGTCAAAACTTGATACAAATTGCATATGCGCATAACATCTTGTCTATCCCATAATATATGACTGGGGGTGCAATTATAATATAATTATGTTAACATAGGTGTGCTTTTAGGGACCTTTCATCATCAGGTCCCTATAGTTCATCAGTCTAACTGCAGAACCAGTCTTGTCTTTTTCTGCCCAGCAACAGTCAATATAGGCCATCACACCAGCAGGGCTGAACCTTGCCAGGGCCTACAACCCAATTTCACAGCTCCAGAGCTCCCTTTCCTGAGCTGGGAGGGCGCTAGGTACAGCAGGTGCTTCTTCACAGATCCCTCCATTCTGGTATGTCCCACAATATGTATTTTTTCAACAAGCAGTCCTGTACACAGTAGGACTTTCATGCATACACTGGCATTGTTAATCACTGAAATGGAAACATTAGGATTTTTCCATAATCCCATTAACCTCCTTCAGATGATGAATCATTAAAAGTAATAATAAAAGGTTACTCAATGCCACACATCCCTAAAAAAGATGCAACACATACTAATTATAATGATTTCACATGGAGGATGAGCACTTCCAAAGGCATCCTGATGTGTGGGGGACATAATTTCCCTGATGAGCTTGTTTAAAATGAATTGCTAATTATATAGCTTGTCCCTGTCTCTTTAACCAAATTTAAGAAGGGAGAGGGTGTTTAGAGAAATTTCTAAAGGTCACTGTGAGAAAAATCTAGCTATTTTATGCTTCATTTGCTTGTATTTCTCAAAACTTTGGGGGAAACAAACTTCATGATTGCAGAAGGTTGCCTTCACCCTAGCTTTTTCTTCCAGTTGAATGGACTCCGTTTTGCTTAAGTGCTGTAAAATATTTATCCCTTCCTTACCTACCAGGCTTATATGCTGCTCCAATCAGCAAACAGCTCTGGGCAGTTCACTTCATTTGGGATTTAGATTAAAAGTATACAAAATCACAACCACGGTAATAATTAATCCAACAAAAAGAAAAACCGAAACACCAAACCACTGAAAAATCCCATTCCCCTGTAAGAGGAACCTCATCATCTTTCAGAGCCCAAACAGCCAATGATTTTACTGAACATCAAATGTGTAAGAGGCAGTCTGATCTCCAGGGAGATATTATTCCAGAGAAGGGGGGAGTATCAATAACAAAGGGCCACTTCCAATGTCCCCGTAGATGACATTCCATAAGGGTAGAACACAGAGAAAGCCTACTGTCTTAGATATTTACCAGACAGGCAAAAGCTAGAAATTAAAGACCTTTTCTCGTTACAACCTCCACTCAGACCCCACCCACCAATTCATGGTACAAAAAAAAATGTTTCACATGTGGCTGGAGCAATTCTCCAGGCAAAGAAAGGGGAGGGGGGACAGATCTCCTGCTATATGCATTTCATTCCAGGTTCTACTGGTTGAATGAAACTATGACATTTTCAATAAGGAATCACTGACAAGCAAGATAGCCTTCTAGCAATGGAGCCACTTCCTGGAAGGTAGAGCCCACCAAGTACAAGTCCACAAGAACCTAGAAATTCTGAAGAAAGCACTAATCTCACGCCTTAGCTAATCAGGGTGGACACAGTTTTTCTCTCATTTCAGTTTTGATATCTCGTATATTCCTGATTCGCAGAACAAACTTTCAGATGCCTGTCATGTAAACCTGGATATCATCTTCCCTACTCATCTCCCCCTGTCACAATACTCCATTGAGCAACTTTGGCTCTTCCCAAGTGTTAGACCCTATTAAAAGCTTGGGGGAAGGGAGACAGACTTCTTTGTTTGTTCGTTCGTTTGTCACATTTATGTAGCCGCCCATCTCACACAAAGCGACTCTGGGCAGCGTACAACAAATAAAACAACCAACAGATAAAAAAACAATAATTATAAAAAGATAAAAAGGAATTATTAAAATGAAAGCATTTTAAAGACTGTTGCTCTGCTAGATCAGATTAAAGTGCAGCAACAACAGTGCTTATGCCAAGGCTTGGATGGATGATCTCCATGAAGGCCCAAAAGGATGGCTATTTGCCTTGCATCTGATGGGAGTCATCTGTTCCACAATGGCTATTCATATGTGTCCCTTCCTTTAAGGGAAGAAATGTTACCGTTCTGCCATGACAATAGAACTGCTGGGCATTTGGAAGTGTTTAAACCTCTGAATCAGGTACTCAGTTCTGGTATTCAGGTGTCACAGATGATGTCAAGGACTGTTTCTTGCCATGTTTGTCACTGAGCAAAGTTTGTTTCTGGAAAATCGGCTGGCTTGTTCCAGCCTCTGAGGTCCCCTCTGCAAACTTGGGATTTTACCCCCATGGATTTTGTTACTAATCTCCCGCCTGTACAGTAGCATACAAGCCTTCATGTGGTTGTTGAGTTGTTTAAAAAGATGTGTCATTTCATTCCTTGCAAGGGCCTCCCAGTAGCTTAGGAAATGGCACAACTTTTTTTAGACCACTTTTTTGGATAATGAGACCTGGTCAATCATGTAATCTCAGATCATGAATCTCAATTTACCTTCATATTTTGGAAGGTTCTCTTCTAATTATCAGACATTAAATCTCTATGCCATTTCCCCATTATCCTGCCTCGGATGGTCAAACTGAGAAAGTGAACCAGATATTACAATATTTAAGGTATATGTCTCTTATCAACAAGACAGTTGAAGTAAACTCTTGCCTCTTGCGGCATTTGCCTACAACAGCTCAGTGCATTCCTCCATAAGAGCATCTCCCTTTCAGGCTATCTAAAATTTCCACTCCTGAGTTTTGCCTTCCAGATCTCCTGCATCTGCCGTTCCTCGTGCCTCAGACTTCCTATAGGAGAGGATGGCTGCTCAGCATCTCTTAAAGAAACAGGTAGGTTTGGCAAAAGCTGCATACAAGTAGACTGCAGAAACACATGAGCAAGAGGGAGCCAAAATTGTGGGAAAAGAATCAGTGTGGCTTTCAACTAGGTTTTGACTTCTGCGTGACGCTTCAAAAAGTTGGACTCAAAGTTTATTGGTCCCTTCCCAGTTGTACAGCAAATTAACCCATCAGCTTTTCATCTGCAATTCCCTGCATCCATGAAGAGTCATCCTGTGTTCCATAATCGCTATGATGTATGAGGAACCTCCCTGCAACATAGGCTTGAAATCGGAATGGGAGAAAAAATATGTAATGGAAGCTATTCTGGGCTCTAGGTGCAAGGGGAAGCATTTGGAATATCTGATTGATTGGAAGTGCTATCCAGATTCATAGAGAAACCGATCTGATTTCCACACTGCACACCTTGTACACCACTTTCATCTAAAATTCCCAGGAAAGTCAATACAATAGGGCTTTTAAGCATATGCGGTAATAGGCCGTTTTTTCCAACTTTCTTCCTTGGATCACTCTTAAGGCAAGGAGAGATTCTTGATCCGTGATCTGCCTATGCTCCAAAGTGTGGGTCCCTCCAAAAAGTTATGGTACTTCCCAGCATGATAGGTCCCCCATAGTAACTGGCAAGCTGCCAGAAAGGAGGTAGATTCCTCTGATCCCTTTACCTCTTTCAGACCCAGTGTAATGTGTCACCATCAAAATTCCTACTAGGCAGATACATCAAAATCCCCTTAGCCAAACAGGTTTCCCCATGTGGATCAGAAGAGACTGAAACCATTGCCTGTGTACTGCTGTATTGAAATTTCCATAGGGACATACAGAATTTTCTTATTTTGCCTCTTCTGCAACAATACTCAGGAAGAACATATCTTTATTATATAAAGTTTGTATTTCTGATTCTAATGCTAGCATTGCCAGTACTGTGACTAAGTTCTGTGTTATTGTGATTAAAACACACCATGAAATATCATATCCTGATTATGATGTTTTTATATGTTTTTATGCTTTTATGGGGATCATTGATTATAATAATCAAGTAAGTTAAGCACAAGTTCAGCAGTCACCTAATTATATATTGGAATGGATTCAATAGATTTACCGGGGTAGCAATAATCTGTCCTTTGGAACTTCATGAGACTCAACCATCATAATGAACCAACTTGTAACAAGTCTTGATGATGAAATAGCATTTGCATCACCAGTGAGGAAACTGTAGACATCTAAATGCTATTGGACTAAATTTGTATAATCTTTTATCACTGGTTAGGGTGGCTAGGAATGATGGTCATTGGAGTCCAAGCTAGTGGCTATGAACTTGTAGTCTAAGTGAGATTCCTTCTCTGATGCTCCAATAGCAGGGTTCCCTACCTGCTTTTCCCAGATTGTGTAAAATCATTCCAGGCTACCAGTGTGTGTTCCTCACAACATGCAGATTTCAGAACATTTGCTAAAATAAACTGCAAATTAGCACAATCTATGAATCTTATGTCAAATAATTCAGGTAAATGTTTGCAGGACAGGCAGTAGGAATACCACCATGGAAATATTCTTAATTAGCTGGAGTCCATTAAATCCTTGAGCCCAAGTACTACAAAGCTGCTACATTTGCTTTTGTTGCATTTTTTTAAAAAAAATTAAGTTGTTTCTGCATAAAACAGCCTTCTATATGAATATTTAATTAATATTATATACAAATATGTAATCACCTCATATTAATTTTGTTTTAAAATATCAAGTTTGTCCCCTTGATATATTGAGTTAGTTCCCCACCCCCTTTTTCAATCTAGGAGTCAATTCTAATTTGGTATATTGTTTATTTACCTTAATTCTGTACAATCAAAAATGATAGCTGAATTGGGACAGGGTACTGTAATTTTATATGGCAAGTAAACACTTTTAATCTACAGAAAGTGAATACATTTCTTCTGAGCATGGTAAGCAGAGTTTCCCACATTTTAAATTAAAATCCACACAGTAAGATAAAGATATCTACTAACTCTTGTTTAAAATTATGATTGTTGCTGTTACCAATCATTATATTTTACCAATCATTATTTTGAATTGAAGGGAAGGATTGATTCCAAGCCACTTTGTTCGAATCTAGCCAGAACCAAGAATTCTCAGCTGTAGATTTTCCATACTAATTCTTGCAATAATAGAAGAACCTGATTTGCTAAAACAGGCATGTTTCTCAGTGTACGTGGATCTTATTTATTGGCTGAATTTCCATCTGCTCCACCTTAGCAATTAGCATAGAGAAGCTTTTTGTATTATCACAACTTAAGGTCTGGTAGTTTCACAGCCTCCCCCAACTGGGAAGGCATCAGAGTGGAGAAAGTTGTCTTATTATAAAATAAGAAAACCACATTGCTACATTGAGAGGTATATTCCACCACTATGGAAACAGATAGTATACACTAGGACAGCTGGAGAGTATCCAATATCAGCCATAAGTCCCCTGTCCCTCCACAGATGGATTACTGCTACATGTGGACTAGATTTTTTTTAAAGACACTTTGTTCATTTCTCATTCCAGGACCGAATGCAGAATATAAGTAGCTGCCATTCTATTGCCCATTGCTAACTGTCTTTCTCCTTACCTTCAAATCCTTTTGTGTTTCTGCTTGACTAATAATGATCACTTGACTTACAATGTGATCGCTCAAGTTTAAGAGTCCAGAGATTATTCTCAGTTCAAGAATTAACAAAGCCATAGTGAGTTCTCAACTCCAGCTACTAGAAAAACCCATTGTGTTCACCCTCTGGAGATAACAACATTCACACCTTGGTGGTCCTGAATGATACTGTGAGCCTTTCCCAACCCAATGGTGTTCAAACATCTGGGACTATAAAAACCCAGCTAGGACAAATGTGTAGATTGTGAATGATGAGAACTGTAGTTCAGCTCATTTCAACACCAGCAGATTGGGAAAGTCTGATCGAAGCTATACAACCAAACAGATCTGACAATGTGACTTTGATCTCCATGGCGAATAGGTAATGTCTAGAAAGGCAGCATGTTGGTCCCCTCCCTAATCCATCCATATTGCAGATCGGTGGATTACTGTAGTGGATACTATCCATAGTATCCAGTCAGTGGACCATCATACTCCCTATGGTCTGTATGACAAGAATCTAATCATGAACTGTCCCTTTCTTTCACCCACTTCCAATTTATTAAGTACATGAGAAAGTCCTGCACAGATATACTCTAAGGTAACTTTGTTGTAAGCACTAATCTTCTACAATTAAGAGTATAGACTGAATATTCTCCCATTACAGATATGAATTAAGTTACAAGGGGAGAACTATAATAACCATAATCTTCTACACATCCCTTGCTGAATTATAGTTCTCCACTTTTAACTTAATTCATATCTGTAATGGGAGAATATTCAGACCTGAATAGGAAGCATGACTCTGTTGCTGGTGCACCAGCAGTGAGCTGCAAGATTAGCTTTAATTAGTCTCCTATTCTGACAATCCCCATCTTCACCATATACTTATCCTTGGCCCACACGTGTTTGGGAAAAAAAGAATATCAGTATGACTTTTTATGAACAACTTCATTTTAAACAAGGATCAAACCCAACTATTTGCCACTCAAGGAAACACCTCAGTCTTGTCTTTAAAATGAAATCCACAGGTCCACACAGTGCTAAATCTGGACTATTGCCCACCATTCTGTGTGGCACTCCTTGTGAAGAATTACCTGCAGAGAAGGTCAGCAAGCAGAAAGAGGTGGGGAAATCATTCAGAAGAATGTAAACAGTGAATACACAGACACATGGACACACACACACACACACAATGTTCCTCACTCCTCTGCTTCTACTTCCCCATCCAACAAAGATCTTCTTCCAGGGTGTTGCCGCTTCTCTTCGCTGTGGCCTTTGCTTAACTTATCTAGCAACTCTAGCAGCAGGCTACCTTTGCTGCATTCAGAGGAATCCTGGGGGTCACAGAGAATATTATTGTCTGGGGTCTGTGAACCCAGATACCTCTTGCCTGGATGCTGTCGCTTCTCTAAGGCTTGCTCGCCCTCAATCTCACCATCCCAGCCTTGCTTGCCAGGGTGCTGTGGCTTGTCATAAGGCAGGTACCTCTTGCCTGGGTGTTGCCTTTTGGATAACTCATTCAGATAAGCTAGCTGGCTGGCTGGAATGCTGAGGTATTGTTCTGAGAAGGATCTTCTGCCAGGATGCTGTCTCTTCTCCAAATCTGTTACCATTCTCTTTCCAGGGTGCTGTCTTTTGGTGATCCAATCCAGTTGAGAAGCACCTGGCTCTGTCCAAAGAAAGGTTTCATGTTACTGCTCACTTGGAAATTGCCTAATGGCTGTTCTTGTTACAAGTTACAATTACTATATTCAATTTGACTCAGGAGCAGGTAGGCAAAATAGCTGACTTAACTTTGTAAATAAAGATGGTGGACAAAAGAAAAATAATGGATTTTTGGAGATGGATGATAAGTTACTGAATAGATATAAGAACAGGACTCTTTATTTAGTGGGGTTGATGGGATCTTTGGAATTTTGAGAACATTTTGTTGTCACTTTTGTAAAATGGCTAGTGTGGTAGGGCTTGTTCATTTGCAAAATGGCTGCTGTAACCAGGTATTAAGCACCAGTTAACCAGAATGTTACCTGCATTCCTCAGGCCCCCTCCTCCCACAGGTCGCTCCTCCCAGTTTACAAGTGTCCTTTATTTCTTGGGCAGGTGGGCACACTTGCAAACAAAGCATTGAATTGTAGCTGCCCGTCATTGTTGTTTGCTGAGAAAGCCTGTCACGTCCATTTAGGGCTTAGAAGCAATTTTAGAAATAAAGTTAACGCTAGAAACTTGCAGGATCCCAGCTTCCCATTTTTAAGCTTCTCTGTAATACACACAATACAGATATATCATGGACATACACTTTGGTACCACATTAGAGATCACATATTAAAATGTTGCTTACTAACTTTGAATCCCAGATGTGGTTGGACTGCTATTCTTATCACCCTCAACCTACATAGTGCCATGCCAGTTGTACTTTGTCCCTAAAACAGTTATAATCCAAGACTGTTGCCACCCAGCATCATACTCTACTTCCATTCTCAATTACTGTATAGCTGCTCCATCCTTGTTTCAGACTAAGCTAGCTGTGTCCTCAAAATTCCTTTTGAATTTGAGGTATCCGATCTGGAGGAATTCATGTGATCATACTGTACTAATTCTTTTGTCCCTTTGACCTAGGGTTCTAGTTAACTTGGGGACCTTCAATAAATCCTCTCTTTTTTCTCTATCATCCCTCTCACCCATGCTTGCTTTCACAGCAAGGAAAAAACAAACTGGCAAAGCAGCAACAAGGAAGGATAAGGGAAGAATAGCAAGGTAGCATTGTGTCCTGACTTCAAGGAGGAGAGGGGAAGTTTTAGGAGGTAGGACAAGTCAAGAGATAAAACAAGTAGGATTTCCCACTAATGGGGGATGTCCTGTACTACAGCTGCTTTAGAACATCAGCTAAACTAGAAACTAGTTGCTTTAGCTACAGAAGATCTCCCAAAGATTTACAATGTCATGGAGACATGGGACACAATATTGGACTTCGATCAGCACAGCACTTATGTAGAAAAAGGCATTTAATCTTATGGTTATTGACCCTGTGGGTACTATGTAAGATATACCTTTGATAGAGTCCACATTTGGGTTCAGCTTCAGTTCATCTTCAGATTCAGTTCCCCAAGCATCCATTGTACAAGAAAGTGCATTGACAAGTAAGTGTCCATAGACATGTGAGTGGATTCTACTTGAAAACTGATGCTAAATGCAAGAACTCAAGAAGTATCATAATTACTTTTTCAGATATTTGACTTCAGAAATGTATGACTAAAGAACAGCATTAGTTGAAATGACTGGTTAGAAGATATTTTGGAAAGTGGGAGGAGAATTTCTTTGAAGTGGTGGCTGACATATTACTATTAATAGAGGAAAGAGTGGGACTCCTTCAGTATCAATAACTCACTGACATAATGTGCAATTCACTGATGGTGTGGTTTAGATTCCATACACTAGCCAAACATGGTCTTATAGCAAGTGTTAAACTACATATGCGGAGGTTCTGCTACAGGAACAGCAGATACAACCTCATATATCCTAATGGCAAGGAACAAACTTCTGGCATTCCTCAAAGATGCTGCTCCTCAGGAACACCATTTTGCATATGGCTGCTTATAAAAAGAATGACTTCCTTTGCCTTTCACCAGATTCTCCATTTAGATAGGGAATCAGAAAAGAGATTCAAGCAAATATGTAGTCTTCTTTGAATATATTATTTGCCATCCTTTGATCTGCCATCAGATCCATTATCAAAGTCAGCATGACAGCATGAAGAGAGTAAACCCTGTCTGCCACCCCGTCATATGACTTCCCAGGCAAACTTGTGAATGATAGCCAGAGTCTGGGAAAAGTACCAGGTTTTCACATACAAAGAAAGCCTCGAGGACAGCAGGAGCTAAATGACTAAGAAGCTGGCATGACACTGGTTGTAGGGAAATTGGAGAGGGAGAAAAAGAAGAAAGATACCAAGAAAAATACAGGCCGCAGAAGATTCCAAGGTGATTCAAGACCATCTAAATGAAACTGGCATGGGGTCACTATAGGATCTGTCTACCCTGTACAGATAACCAGCAGGAGAAGAGGATCCAAAGATACCAGAAAGAAGCTCCAGGTTTTGCCAACAGTGAGGGATGGCCAGCTAAGTTTTAACTGGAACCCTTAATTAACTCATTGGAGAATTTCATAGCAACTACATTTTAGGACAAGCACAATGACATTTTATCAGAGGCATTGCTATTGCTGGCAGGGATCTAATTAATCTCAGAATGATAGCACAATTAAACCATTAAAATTGCCTGCATTCTCTCTTCCTTTGAAGGCAGACAGTAGATGGAGGCATAGAGGAAGAATTATAGGTCTGTCATATGTATCAGCTGGATTCTGCTTGCTTAGTTATCTGACTGGAAAAACAAAGCTTTCAAAGAAATTGATGTCTTTCTACCCTTGTTACACTTAGAAGAAAGGAAACAATTGAAATGGTTCACAAGAAGGCCCTTGTGTTCTCTATTTGTCTGATCAATCCTGATAATTCATGACAATTGGCCAATCCATAAGGTAGAGTGAGGCAGTTGCCTTGCACAGTGGATGTTGAGAAAAGTGGGAAAGCAGAAATGGTAACTCTCTGGCTATTGTATCAAAGCCACCAGCTGCCTACTTCTTTTAGAGAGCAGAGATATACATATTGCATAGCACAGTCTGACCTGTGCCTACTAAGCTACCCTGTTGCTTCCCAGATACAGTGAAGAACGCTACACCGTCGTTACTGTTAAACTAAAATTCAACAAGCAGTCTACTCAGCTGAATGTTGACTTCCCTGAATATTAGCTGTTCTTCAGAGCTCTTTCCCAAGCCTCCTGGGAAGTGCTAAATACTGAATTTTTAAATTATAATATTGGCATATTTATTTGTATATTGAATGTATCATAGAATCATAGGATTGGAAGGGACCTTGAATGTCTTCTAGTCCAACCCTCATACCTCAGACAAATGATTGTCCAATCTTTTCTTGGAAACCTCTAGAGATGGAGCACCCACAACTCCGGGAGGCAAACTGTTCCACTGCTTAATAGTTCTAACTGTCAGGAAATTCCTCCTTATTTCCAGGTTGGATCTCCCTCTGACAAGCTTCCATCCATTGCTTCTGTCCTACCCTTAGGTGCTATGGAGAATAAATCAACACCCTCTTCCCTGTGGCAGCCCTTCAAGTATTGGAAGACTGCTATTAAGTCTCCCTTCAGTCTTCTCTTTGTTAAACTAAACATACCTAGTTCCTTTAGCTGTTCTTCATAGGTTTAGCCTCCAGACCCCTTATCATCTTTGTTGCTCCTCTAGCAAATAAGTAAATATTGTAACAAATAACATATTTTTTTTCCAGAAAGACTAGTCCAGTCTTCCCAAAATTGGTGTCTTCCACAGGTATTGAATTACAACTCCCAGAACCTTCCACTAGCATGCAACTGAAAAACTGAAGGATTTCAAATTTGCTTTAAGACATAACACCACATTTTTTCTCCATCGCAGCAACCAAGAAAGATGTGCCTTATGTTTTAAAAGCTGTCTCCCCCCACCCCCACTGCCTTAAAAGAGGGGAAATACTGTGAAGACTTCTGGGCAGAAATTGGGCATATAAATAAATAAACAACAGGAAATTAACTATCAGTTATGTAATCATAGAGGTCCTCACGTTCACATTTACCTTTATCCAGATCCTCTTCTGCATCTTCTATCTTCCTAAAAATGGACCTTAAGATGAGACTTTCTGCCCCTGGGGAAAGGTCATCAAGGAGACTCTTTTCATCATTGTCATCTTCTTCTGGAAATTGCTGCCCCAAGTTGACACACACACTGGTAAAAGCCAGGAAGAAAAACAGCAGCAGCTGCCAAATGGAGGACATGGTGAGACAAGATCCTACAAGCAGAAAGTGGAGAAAATGGATTTTAAAAATAGTGTAGGAAATGCAACATTCCCAGTCACTTGGAGGGAAATGGTATGTCAAGAAGATAAATGCAGGCTCTTCGGTTTTTATTCACTTCTAATGAAACTACCCATAGGAATGATTACTTGTCACTTTAATTTTCTGTGAGCTCACTTGGGTTTGCCTAAAGATCTTCAGATGAATTCGGATGTTTGCCTCTGAGCAAAGATGAGGGCTATAACATGAGAGAACAGTCTGGTTTATCCTCCTTTAAGTGTGTGTGTGTTACCTGAAGCCTATTCATGTTAGAAGTCTAAAGCTATATAAACTTTATTTCAATACATCAGAACGAGCACCAGTTTTTTAAAAAATGCTTATGTTTAAAAAAGAATACCTGTACACAAATATTATAACAGGAATACAATGCTTGTATTGTACTGTACTACCAAAAGGATGCTTTAAATTCACATGGCTTAATTACAATTTTCATGAAATCACTCAGGGTTTTTTACTTCAGTCGAATAGATTCTAATGTTTTCAGAACATTTGAAAATGAGAGAAATGCTGTTCTTTTGTGAAGACTTAACTAAATGATTTAAAACACACTTTAACTTGCTGGCAAAGTTAACAGCAATTGTAATTTGAAGATCTCTTCTTTCTATCTCACTCTGTTTTGTGAGCAAGCAATTGGCATTCATCCTTTTAAAAGAGGATGAGAGGGAGGGAGGGAGAGAAAGAGAGATTCACTGTCATTTCCATACACCTTCAGGTTGAAAGTGTTACAGAACAAGCATTAACATTCAGAAGAGATATTTTTCCAATCCAGTAAACAGCCTGCTTTATTAACTACCCGGAACAAATGAATAACAGCTGTACACAACCAGATAGACCTGTGAGATGTTCATAAGAAAGAAAAAGTTTAACAGGCAAGGCAGCCTAAAGAAGAAAACTAAATGGAAATTATTACCTTCCTTCCAGGTGCTTTAATCCTTGGCTCAGGTTTTGAAAGAATTGCTTCGGCTCCCTATCTTTCTGCAGCCACTTACACGTTTGAGCTTCAAAGTTGCCTTCCTCCGTTGAATCACAGATGACATCCACCAGAAGTGCTCCTGAGTTCTTTTTGGTAGATTAAGTCTTCTTCCCTTCTTATAGAGAGCTGCCTCTGGACCAATTATGCAAATAGTTGTGAGGTAATATATGTGATGTACTGCGTTTCCCCTGCCTCCTTTCATTGATGTCAGGGATCTGAAATTTGTGCGCATGTTAAAATTCTGACAGTTGTGAGCTGACCTCACATTGCTAGGGATTGCTGGAAAAAAATTGCTTCAGGAAATAAGATGAGGGATATGCCTGTGTGTATAAGTCCACATGAACATTATGTCAAACTATTGTTATGAGCCAAGCCCAAGCAGGTCATTCATGCGATGTGAAAAGCAAAATGGAACCAGTAAATGGTATTGATATTGAACTTCTCTTTTTGAGGATGCCTCCTCTCTGTGAATTTGCAGTTCAGTAACTGACAGTTTGCTAGACAATACCCCACAGCTCTTTCAATTCCAGTGAAATCTTCCATATATAGTCTTGAATTTTACAGAAGGGAAAACAAATTTTCATTTGGGTAACAAAGTGTCGTGTGAGTGCTGACCCTCTGTTTCCATCTGGAAAGGCTTCTATGTCCAATATAGAGATACTGTTCACTACTCATTTGTATATGGG